AGCTCCCGCACCCAGACGACGGATGAGGTCGAGGTTTTGTCTGCAGAACGACGTGCCAAGGTAGAAACCACAGCCGTGCATAAGTCATGCAAATGTTAACCCTGCGGATGCCTGCAAGTTTTTGCCCCAATCTGTCCACCTTCGCTCTTGCCTCGCTTGCCTCTGCTCTTGCCTCGCTTGCAATCTCCAATGCTGCGGGCAACGCACGGTCTGCTTGCAAAAAAGCAATGTGCAACTTGCCATTCTCCAGCAACCCCTGCACGCAGGTAAGACCCAGTGTGTCCAGCACGCTCTGTATGTTTATCTGCAGAGCCGCGCGATTGAACACAATCGCATAGCCAGTCGATCCTGGAAAAAGGCGCTGTGCTTTCAAGCCACGCGGTTCATCATGGACCAAGAACCCTTGACGCTGAACAAGGCGGCATTGGATCTCGATCTGCAAAAGTTTCATCGCGACAAGACGACTGTCCGAACAAGCTTCCACCAGAACACAGGTGGTGTCTGCGCAGGTCGCACGAACTTTAGCTTCAGTCACCTGGTTGAGCTTGTTCAGCAATTCTTCAAAGCTACCATGGAACACCGCGTCAACGTCAGCTTCCTCTTCACCGAAACCTCTTGCTAGCACTCTTTGCCCAGCGTTGTCTGACACACGTTCTCGCAGGAAAGCTGCAACGCTTTTTTTGAGCGCTTCTACTTGTGTTCGCTCATCGGCCTCTTGAGAGGTGACAGCTTTGAGTTTGCGGCTATGGCCATTGATGACGCTAGCAACTAGGCCTTCATACTGACTGCCGCTCTGCTGGCTGATGCGACTGTCTGAAAAAGCTGCGGGATGGCCAGCCTTATCCAGCATGCAGTATGCGCTATCAAGCCGTGCTCGACTTGGTGCAACATGCTGCTGAGAATGCTGCGCAAGCCCCCAATGCTGGCTTCCCGCATTCCACAATCCCTGGTCCCAGGCGTCCCAGGACCACTGCGAATGATGTGCCATGGCAGTTGTTGCTACAACGCTGAAACACTGCAACAGTGTAGAAATCTTAACATGGCAACTGCAATACTGTGACTTGTATCAGCGTGAGGCCTTCAGAAAATAGCACACTGGGCCCAAGCTGCGAGCAAACGCATTGTGGGTGCGGCGTTGATATACGAGGTCTGTTGTAGAAAAGGACTGATGTGCGCC